CTCTATTTCTTGATTTTATTCGTGACCCAAAGGTATCTAATCTCAATTTGCATTTCAATAACGCGAACAAAATGTATTTTTGCTTTTATTTTAGAGCGTCAAACCAATTCCACCTTCGCTTACACCTAACGAAGCTAAATTTATAGCCGATATAGCGGTACCTGGAAGTAAGTGTGCATTCGAAATTTGAATTAAATCAATTTATTACCTGGTTTCTAACGTCACTTTTAATCCTTATATTTTTTTTTCTATCGACGGCAAAAGAGGTGATTTTTCATGATTCATAAACCAATACTCATCCTGAGATATTTTTCTATTACAGAATTTCTCACCGCTACCAAGGAAGCATATGCCAATGCCGACGAAGATGATCAAATACAATTTAATGCAATCATTTTGTCGGAAACGGAGATTTTGACCTGTGCACATAATGTGCACGGCGCCCCATATGTCTTTATAATAGTAAATAAACTATCTAGAAATGCGACAGAAATTAAAGTTACTGAAGACCAGATAGAAATTCATGAGAAATACGACTTGTCGGGATTCACATTTGACGTTGCCAAGATTACACTTAAAGAACCGTTGGAGTTCAATGACAACGTTGGCAGCATCGATTTGGTGGACAAACATTACAAATTGAATGACCCGTCCGAAATAGTCTCTGTCTATGGTGATATGGTATTGGATGGAGCAGAGAGAACGAGACGTTATGATACAAAGTATTTGAATAGCGCCATTTGCGAATCGAAATATGGCGCTCTATTTGATGCAAATCATTTGATGTGTTACACTTTTGATGAGAGTATGGGAACTCCCTCTACGTTTGGAGGACCGATGATTTCGAAGAAGAATAACAAACTCGTGGGCATGACCATATTTCGTTCGCGTGGTAAGCCAGTTGTTTTTCAACCAATTGCACCGTTGCTCGATTGGATCCGGAAGCCAAAGGTTAGACGTAATCAAAGAGGAAGAATATAGGCTTGAAAAAAGGGGTTTCAGGCGCCTGAAAAAGCTGAATACCGTCTCTTTTTTTGCCCCTGTCATTTGGTGTTCAACAAAAGAACCGAATAAAATTGAAAATTTGAGAAAAATGCATTTTAGTTTTCATTCGCCCATGCGCAGTTACGTGATTATCCAAAGTAATTGTGATATATATTACGGCTTACAATGCACGTAAAAATTGCACATAAGTGTGAGCGAGATAGAGATAGCATGAGTATTGTGTATCCCAGTGAATAGGCACTACGGAACTGGTGAAATGATGGCTCGGTTTTATTCAAAGCGTTTTGGAGGCGATGGACACATTATTTTTGCCGAATTCTGCTCGGAAATGCGAGTTTTGGCCATGTGTAGATTTTAAGGTATAAATCAATGTGCAATTGCAGCCGCGCTCTGACCTCAGAGATTTTCATACAAACCTGCCATGTAAACGGTCGCAATACAGGCAAAAATCGAGAAAAAAAAGTTCTAAAAAAATGTTTTCAGATTCTAATAGAGTAATTTGTGTGCACCGTTGCTATTATCGCCACATTGAAATTCGGGCTCCCTACCACTTAATTTTCACTCCGAAATCAAGTCACAACCAAAACCACCATTTGGATTAGTCATCATTCCAATGGACTTGGAAGTGTATCGTACATTTTTGTTTCAATTAAAGTGAAACACGATTTTTTTTGATTCACACAAAGTGTGTGACTTTTTGTATTGCCTCCTTCTTGTTCCGAATGAAAAAGCAAAAAATTTTTTATGATTCCATTTGATCGATATATTTCGGCTTATCAAAAGCCATCTTCAGGATTTAAAATGAAATAATTTTTCACAATTTATCAATAAATAACCTAGATTTCGTGTGTAAATAAATAAATTTACCAAGAGCCAATTGACTCTAACACTGTGAATCTAATTTTCAATAACAAACAATGCAGCGAAATGTCAAAGTTTGGCACTTGCTCTGATTGGCGAAAATGCGCTCATTAAACGGAATCA